CTAAACCCTGAACCCCAAACCCAGAGAAAGCCAGGCTCAAGGCAGGCAGGGAGCTCTTCGATCCAGCTTCCGACGCACTTTGGCGAAGCGGCGCAGGGTCTGCAGATGACAGGATGCAGGAGCGCACCTTCCCGCAAGCCTTCGCCGAGGTTTAAGGTTTTTTTTTAGGGTTTAGGGTTTAGGGGTTTATGCGACCATGGTTTATAAGTGATTCCAGCTACATTTTTCCAGGGTTTTGGGCTCTGATAGGGGCTTGGGGTTAGGGTCATAACGCTTGGGGCTTAGATTGTGCTGTGTTTAGTTTTGGTAAGTACACATGCTTTGGAGAAGTAACTCCAAGCCTGAACCCATAGGGCCTATAATGCGGTATAGTATGAGAGTAATTATACTGAAATGGAGACCGCAACACAGATGGTTCACATCTCTGGGAAACCCTAAACCGAGCCTGGACCTCAAATCTCAGCCTACAATGCGAGCACGCGTGTGAACTCGCATAACGTCCTGTAAGGGTATTTCTACGGAACAGCCATGGTTTATGGAAGGATCCCCACCCTACCCCGTAAATTGAAATCGCTGTACCCCATTAGAAGCCATCGAAAAATCCAAGCTCCCTAAAGGAGCCCATGCTGAATATGGGAGCGTTATTATATAAGTCAACCAGACTCGGGCTTCGGGGGAAGTTGTACTGCAGTTCGAGTAAGGCACCCTAAGGAATAGTACTACGTGCTACTTAATCTCTACGAGCCTGATACATAAACATACTGTAGCTTAGAATAAGGAACCCGGATGACCCGTCACTCATTTCACGAAGCAATCTCTAGGAGTCTGTATACCCTAAACCCTGACCCCAAAACCCCTAAACCCCAAAACCCTAAACCCCTAAACCGCTAAACCCCAAAACCCCTAAACCCTAAACCCCTCAACCCCTAAACCCTAAAACCCCTAAACCCTGAATTAAGCAAGCCACTGGGAAGGCTGCAAGCGCGGCACCACTGCCAAAGGCGAGGACAGACCCGGGCCTGTGTTTCTTGAAAGAGGGTTTAGGGTTTAGGGTTTAGGAAACAAAGACAACCATTTCGTGAATACAGAAAGGGGCTTTAGGGTTTAGAGGCTTAGGGTTTTAGGGTTTAGGGGTTTAGGGTTTAGCGGTTTGGGGTATAAGGGTTTAGGGTTTAGGGTTTAGGGGTTCAGGGGTTTAGGGTTTCGGCTTTAAGGGTTTAGGGTTTAGGGGTTTAGTTTTGTGCTTAGGGTTTAGGGGCTTGGGGTGCAGGTCTTAGGGCTTATTGTGTTTTACAAGGCACTTTGAAGGCCTTGGAGAGCTTGATACGGATTGAAATTTATGATTTGCTAGACAGGTTGTTTACGGTTTAGGGTGCTACTCGCTTTTGCACTTTATCAAGTTGCTGAGGGGCTTATAAGTGGCAGGCCTTGTTATGATTTTTCGGCATGCAAGTAGTTCTCTAAATTCGGGTCCCTCTTTAGGGCCCCAAAATAGTACGGCACCCTTATCAAACAGGGACCCTAACTTAGAGGACTACGCATGTAGGTATTTGGTGGGTTGAGGGTTGGTTCACGCGTTTGGAGAGGTCCCGCAACTTGCATGTACGCCCTAGTTATCAGTTACGGAATACTTGCAAATCCTCATCGGAAGCCCTACATAGTACGGGTGCAATTCCTGAACGAACCCCCGGGGCAGAAAACCAAGCCCAAATCCTCATGCGCAAACCCCCACGCCCTTAAATTCCCTAACCCTAAACCCTAAACCTAACCCTAAACCCTAACCCTAACCCTTAACCCTAACCCTATACCCTCAACCCTAAACATGCCCACATCCCCAAGCCCCTAAAGCCCCTAAGCCCCTAAACCCTAAACCCAAACCCAAGTCCTTCCCATCCTCATCCCCAAGCCCCTGGGCTCTCGGGCGCGCCTGGAAGGAAGAGCAGTGGCGGTGGAACCTCGGAGGCTCTTTGGGGTCTAGGGTTTAGGGTTTAGGGTTTAGGGTTCAGGGTTTAGGGTTTAAGTTTAGGGTTTAGGGTTTAGGGTTTAAGTTTAGGGTTTAGGGTTTTTTTTGTAAATGGCTTTAGGGTTTAGGGTTTGGTTCAAACGGGGGTTTCCGAAAATAAGGAGTACGTACCTTAATTTGGGCTCCTTATAATAATAAGGGTCCTACTATTTAGAATACCATATTAGGGTCTCCTATTTTCGGAAACCCCCACATGGGGTTTAGGATTTTGGGTTTGGGGGTTTGGGGTTTAGGGTTTAGGGTTTAGGGTTTAGGGGTTTAGGGTTTTAGGGTTTAGGGGTTTAGGGTTTAGGGTTTAGGGTCTGGGGTTCTGGACTGCACGATGCAAAACCCTAAATCCCTGGCCTTAAGCTCTGTGTTGAAGCCCCCAGGCCCTATAAACCCTAAACCCTACACCCTAAACCCTGAACCCCAAACCCTAAACCCGAAAACCCTCAACCCCAAACCCTGAACCCTAACACTGAACCCTAAACCCTCAACCCAAAGCCTTGTTCTGAAGCCAGGAACCTTTGGACGAATCAAGGCGAGCAAGTGCCAGAGACCATAGCCGGCAGCTGCCCAGAGAGCCAGCCTGACAATCTCGTGCAAAAGGTTTAAGGTTCAGGGTATAGTTCTGGTCTAGGAGGTGAGATTTTTCAGGGATTCGGCGACTAGCAACAAAGCGTATTTGTTGGAACCCTTCATGGACCCATTACATACAGCCCCGGGAGCGATGAAGGGCTCAAGGTTTAGGGTCTGAATGCTTTGGCATCTATGGTCCAGGATGTTTAGGTTTGAGATGCAGGGTTTAGGCGTTTAGGTTGTTGAGTTTGTAGGGCGTAATTAGGGTTTATCTCACGTATCAAACTCCGAAGCTCCAGATTTTGCCATGGCTCGGAAGCGAGCACCCTAAACTCCACAGCCTAAGCCCTAAACCCTAAACCTGCCTCCCCCAAGAATTCTTGGGTCGTAGACGCTGCCTCCGGGCATGAGGCGATGCTAGACCATGAGCTTTAAGGGCTTAATCTTCGGATTAGGTGCCCTAAACCCTAAACCCTAAACCCTAAACCCTAAAGGTGTTTTTTGGTTAGGGCTTTAGGGCCCCTCGGTTTAGGACCATGAGCTTTAGGGGCTTAGGATTTAGGGCTTAGGGTGTAGGGCTTTAGGGGCTTTAGGGGTTTAGGATGTAGTGTTTGGTGCAGGGGTTTAGGAGTTTAGGGGTGTAGGGGGGGGGGGGCTCAGAGATGCGGTTGTTGCATACGCGTCTGGGTGGTGTTCAAACAAGAGAATAACTCCCAAGAGCCCAGTAGAAAGCCCTAAACCCTGAACCCCTGAACCCTAGACCCTAAAAAGCAAAGTAGAAAGGCCGTGATCACGTCCATGAGATCGTGGCTCAGGGTATGCTCGGAGAATCAGGGACTTGGGAAGGAGACTGTGAGTTAGGCTACCACTCGGAAGCACCAAGATTTGTTGTTGTTTGGAGGGGGTGAGCTTCTATATTTTGAGTTTAGGGTTTAGGGTTCTAAACCTTGAGAACCATTGTAAAACCATAGGAAGAGACGTACAAAGCCCTAAACCCTAAACCCCCAAGCCATACCTTCAACTGTCTGGCACTCAAGCCATGTAGTGCGCGAGAAACTTCCTCGATTTACGAGGGTTGTCATAGAGATTGTGCAGGTTTTGAGACGGTTTTATAGGGCCTTAGAATTGTCTAATAGGGATTTTATGGGTTTTTTGAGGGTGGGATTTAGGGTTTAGGGCTTATAGGGTTTATAGGGTTTAGGGTTTAGGGCTTTTAGGGTTTAGGGTTTTAGGGTTTAGGGTTTAGGGTTTAGGTTTCGGGTGTTCGGGAAGATGCCAGAACTGGGTGGCGCAGCCTTGCGAGCCTCACCGGCTGAAACCCTGACACCCCAAAAGCTAAACCATGAGCTCCTTATAACCTAAACCCTAAACCATGAGCTCTAGACCCTAAACCCTAAACCCTAACCTAAACCCTAAACTCTAGACCGTAAACCCTAAACTCTAAACCCTATAAACTCTAAACCCTGAACAGTTGCAGATCCCGCAAAAAAAAACTCCCATGATCCCAAACAGATCCCCTTAAAGTAGCTCCTATAACCTATAACTTATCCCAAGTAAACCGAATCTACGGATCCGCTTTAAGGAGCTCCTACTAACTCAGCCCAAGTAAACCTATAATACGGCTGATGGACAAAATCCTGCATGACCTTATATAGCTAAACTATGGGATTGATGGTACTATACTATATTTGGGCCATGCACAATTTTGTCCATCAGCAGTAGGATGAGACGAAGCTGCATGAGTCGGGAGCCGCCCGACCGCAGTTCCTCAGCTCTGTTCTGCTGTTTTGGAACTTCAATCCTTTAGGCTTTAGATTTTAGGGTTTAGGGTTTAGGGTTTAGGGTTTAGGGTTTAGATTTTAGGGTTTAGGGTTTAGGGTTTAGGGTTTAGTTCCCGGCCCTACAAGACCCGCTTAATAAATCCGTGTGGAGTCATTGGAATCTTAAGAATGTCCCTATAAGCCATTTGCAATGCCCCTACAAAACCCTTTCCCACCCCGGCCCTAAACCCAAACCCTACATCCCGCAACCCTAAACCCTACACCACGAAACCCTAAATCCTAAACCC